CTCTTCGTGGTGCTGAGGACGGAATCCGTAGTGCTCACTAGGCAGTCGCTGATTACAAACCCCCGACTCCTCTTCTAGCTCTCTTCACGAGGAGTCCCTGTCTTCACGCGCCTTCCAGGACGGCGGCTGGGGCAAGAGGGGCCTGGATGTGGGCCATCACAGACTTCAGGGTGTTGTACAAACGAGAGGGGTGGGGACACCCCCACACCCTATCTTATGGAGTTGCCCCCATGCATGGGCAGCCTGGGCTGGAAGGACTTTCCCGAACCGGTGGCGGCACTGCCTAATTTCCATCCAGGCTTTCTCACCAGCTCTGGTCTCTGCAGGCTCCTGAAGGGCACTAATCACTCAGGTGGGTGCAAGCCGACGGAGGGGCTACCTGAGCCTCCTAGGTAGCAGGAGGCAGAGGCCAGGAGACAGCATAAATATCGGAGACAGCAGACTGAATCGCAGATCCCAGCACCTCCCCCTCCCATCCTGCTGCTCTCTTGAGACCTCAGGAGCCCGGTCGCCCCCTCCCTCCCACAGGCAGCTGGAGCCTGAGTCACGAGCTGCCTCTCGGGAGACAAAGGCAGCCCAGGGCCCTCCCTCCAGACCCCCTCCTGGTGCCAGCATCTGTGCTAGCAGGGAGTCCAACATCCCGAGAGCCTCTTGGAGGAAAGGAGAGAACTTAGGTGTTGCCTTCTGACTTGAGTGGTAGCTGATGTCCCATCCCTATCTTCTGCAGGGACACGCCCAGGTGGCTGCCTATGCCAGGTGTTCCCAGCCTTTTAGCGATCTCCTTGTGGCTCCGGGAAAGAGCTGCCCATCTTGCTGATGAGAAAACTGACACCTAGGCAGATGGATGTCCATCTTGCTGATGAGAAAACTGACGCCTAGGCAGATGGATGTCCAGCTAGAGCAGGAATTGCAGCCTGGTCAGTATGGTTCCACAGTGAACCTCATCCTAAGGGCAAGAGAAGGCATTCCAGGGAGAAAGGGAGGGACAAAGCCGTTGGGGGAGGCCCTCTGCACTGGCTGTCCCTGTTTTTTTTTTCGAGACAGGGTTTCTCTGTGGCTTTGGAGGCTGTCCAGGAACTCGCTTGGTAGTCCAGGCTGGTCTCGAACTCACAGCGATCCGCCTGCCTCTGCCTCCCGAGTGCTGGGATTAAAGGCGTGCGCCACCACCGCCCGGCCGGCTGTCCCTGTTTTGAGAAGGCGGAAGAAATGCCTCCCGGCCAGTGGGGGCTTCTAGCTGCTGTATGCTGAACTGGCCAATGGCAGGCTTGGGGCTTGCAGTTTGGCTCCAGGCAAGACACTGGCTCCTCCTGGCTTTGCGCCAGTCACATCCAGTCCCTTCTCCTGTTTTTAGGTTTCTGTCTAGTAAATTCCAAACCTTCCTGTCCACAATTGTACACAGTGGAAGTCGGGTCACCTAACATCTAAGATGAGACACTGAGGCCAACACAAGCTTCTGCTAATGTGCATAGAATTTCAGGGCCCCCCGGGCTCCCACAGCCAGTCAGGCGGTGAAATGCCCAAGTGCCCACACAGTGCAGGGAAAGACCTGAGAATCACCCTTACCCCCGACACGCACTCTCTCACTGGCATCCAGGAGCACACTCGTACACTCACACTCCGCTGCCAGCCCTGGAGCTGGGGGCGGGGCGGGTGCCCTTCAGGCAGGCACTCGGCTCCTCTTGCCCGCCCCGTGGGGCTCACTGCAGATGCCAGGGGTTATTTTAAGCCCGGATCAATGGACGATGTTTTGGTGACACAGGCTTGGAAGGGGAAGAGACAGGGGGTGGGTGTCCCAGAGCCTTGCTGTGATCAGAGACCGAGGGACCTTGCCGGATTCCATGACAGGCCAGGGTGACCAAGGCCGAGGCCGAGGCCAAGGCCGAGGCAGGGTACAAACATGCCAGGCAGACAGAGATTAAGTGAGAAGTTTTATTAGAAAGGGAAGGGTCGGGGGAAGGAAAGAGAAAAAAGGTAAAGAGACACAGAGGGAGGACAGAAGAGAAGAGGGAGACAGGAAAAGTCCTGTCTGCCCCCAGGGGAACAACAGGAAAGAGACAGGGAAAGAGAACAAAAGTGGGCGGGGTCTGTCTTTTAAAGGGGTCCTTTGCACCTGCGTGGAGACTATGCAGCAGCCATAGAACCCTGGGCTGACCAGGGTACTGCCTGAGTGCATTCTGCCAGGTGACAGGGGCAGGCCCGCATAGTGCCTGGATCCTTACAGGAGACCCTGGGGTCCAGGGTAAAGGGATCTCTCCTTCACTGGACGCATCCTCTTTAGAACCCTAGCCCAGCTCATGGCCATGTTCAAAATGGGGTACAGCTGCATGGATAGTTATGCGCAAGAACACAGAGCAGCTGAGTCCTGTAGCTCTCTGCTGCTGCCCCTCACCCCGAGACCAGGCCTCGAATGTTTGGCACAGCCCCTGTAGTTGTTGGCACTTGTGGCTGTCGACTGGTCACAGAACCCATAGCATCAGGCTAAAACGGGGAGAAAGCTGGGATGGGGTGAGGGTCGGACATCAGTACCTGTGGGGAACTGGAATCAGTTCCTTTGCTGGCCCAATGGAATCACAGGTATTTGAAGGTTCCGAAGAGTCAGCGTGAGGTTGGTGCTCAGCAGACACCAACACGACAGGGGTAAGGGAAGATCCCGAGGATGTGCAACAAGGACAGTTGGTGGCACATACCCCGTCTTTAGGAAAGCCGGGGAAGGAAACAGGAAAGGATGTATCGGAGAGCACAGCTACTACGTTCTGAACAGAGCAACAAAACCTGAACTAGAAACCAGTCTCAACATGGGTGGGAAAGTGTGATAAGCTTTGCGGCAGGTTGTCGTGGGTGATGGGATTAAAGCATGTCACGTCCCTCCCCGTCTTCTTTCCCCCACCTTCTAAACGACAATGCAGAAAGTCTTTATGGGGATGGGGGGGGAGTCTTCAGGACTGGCTAGGAGTCTCGTGGGTGTGCAAGTGTATGGTGAGGGGACAGGTCATTTTTAGCGGGGGTAAATGGAGACAGCCTGACAGCTACGAGGTGGGCAGTTGCCCTCTTTCCAGTGGAACCCACTAAAAGCCTGTCAGTCCCTCATCTCACACAACAGAAGGACTCCATCCTCCTTAGGATGTAAATCCTTCCTCTTTCTCCCCCTGCACTCTCCATTTTCATAAGCTGATTCCAGGCTCCAAAGAGGGAAGGCAGAGAAGGGAGAAGAAAGGACCCTCGGTGGCTAAATTCTTCATCTTACAGGAATTAGAAACAAGTATCATTCGGGTGGCTAAATTCTTCATCTTACAGGAATTAGAAACAAGTATCATTCGGGTGGCTAAATTCTTCATCTTACAGGAATTAGAAACAAGTATCATTTCACTCTTTCATTCAGCAAATATTGACAGGCACCTGAGCTGTGCTGGGAGCAGAGGGACACGGGGTGAATTGGATACCTAGTCCTTGCCTTCCTGGTGTCCCCATCTGGACACGGGAAAGTGTCCTGTTATTCTCTACCTCCCAGGAGGAATGGACTATGGATCTGCCCGTCAGGAAAAGGTTTTTATTTATTTCATTGTTTTTGTTGGTTGGTTGGTTTTGGTTTTGAGATAGGGTCTCATATGGTCCAGGCTGTTCTTCAATTCCTTTTTTTTTTTTTTTTTTTTTTTTGGTTTTTGGTTTTGGTTTTGGGTTTTCAAGACAGGATTTCTCTGTGTAGCTCTGGCTGTTCTGGAACTCACTCTGTAGACCAGGCTGGCCTCAAACTCAGAGCTCCGCCTGCCTCTGCCTCTGGAGTGCTGGGATTAAAGGCGTGCGCCACCAGTGCCCAGCTTGGTCTTGAACCCAAATTGCATTGCTAACTTTCTTTTTCCTTTTTTTCTTTTCTTGAGGCAGAGTTTTCCAATAAAGACTGGGACTCACCATTTAGACCAGTGCAGCCTCAAGCAACCTTCCTGCCTCATCCTTAGGGGTATGACACTATTTTGTTCTGTTTGCATTTTGAGACAGGGTCTCACTATGTAGCCCAGGCTGCTCAAAGTTGTGGGCCCAAGTGGTCTTCCCACTTCAGCCTCCCAAAGTCTACTTCATCATTGCAGGAGCCAGAAAAACCTTTTGATTTTAACAGTAGCTATGGAGGCAGGAATGAGCAGGCCCAGCATCAACTCAACTGGGGGTGGGGTGGGGGCACTGAGCTGTACCCTGACATTCTTCCCTCAGCTCGTGAGAGGACCTGGGAGTGAAGGAGCCAGAGAGAGAGAGAGAGAGAGAGAGAGAGAGAGAGAGAGAGAGAGAGAGAGAGAGAGACAGAGAGACAGAGAGACAGACAGACAGACAGAGACACAGAGACACAGAGACACCGAGACCGAGACCAAGGACATACAGGGAGTGCAACTGACCTGGTCCCCAGGGCCTGGCCAGTCTTCTAAGGCAGAGGCTGGGGAGGGGAGCAGACCCCTTCCTCCAGTGGTCTTGAGGTGGCCAGCTCAAATGGGCTCTGGCCAGGCTGTGCCCAGAACTGGGACATCCGAGGACCCCAGCCAATGTCCAAGTTTTGGAGGCAGGGCACATGCTCTGGGGCAGACCAGAGAAGGGTTCCCGATCCAGGCTTTCCTCTTTGCCATTTTTTGTGCTGGGGTCCTTATTGCAGAATGGGAAATGTCCTCTCACTCATGTCACGATCAGAACAGATAGAGGGAAGGAACGTTGGGACTGGAGGGGGCGCGACCCTCCCTGGTCTATTCCAGGCTGCTTTGATCTCTATGCCTCTCTCTGTCCCTTACTTAAAAGAAAGAACCGCTCATCCAAGGCCACTGAGATCCGAGTCCCCAGAGCTTTAAGTTGAGCCCCCTCAAGGGTCCAATTCAATTTGAGGGAGGCCATGAAAAGGGTCCCTGGTGGTGGAGCGCGCCTGCAGCGCTGGCCCTACAGAATCCCTCCCTCCCGGGCTCAGCGGCCGCGCTCCTCCCCCGGTTCTGCCTCCCTCCCGCCCTCCTCCCCTCGCTCCCTCTCCCGCCCTCCCGAGCCCGCGCCGAGCCCGCGCTGGAGCCGGAGCCAGAGCGCGGGCAGCGCAGAGCGGGCGGCGGGAAGGCAGCGGTGTCCGGCGACCCGCCGCCCGGCTCAGTCCCTAAAAGACACAGGACCCGCCCGCCCATCGGGGCCAGCGGGAGCGGGGAACCGCGCAGACAAGCACCGGCCGCCCGGCTCCGCCGTGAGCAGTCCGAGGTGATCCCGGGAGGAGGGCGCGCCCACCGGAGGAGGTGCAGCCCCGCGCACTCCACACCGAGCTCACTTGTGTCTGGAGCCGCGGACGTACCAGGAGGCGACAACCCGGAGCCAGCGCGGACAGCGGGCCGACCTGTCCAGAAGGGAGCGCGGGAGCCGGGCAGAGCGGCCACGCGCCGAGCCATGCGCGGGGCGCAATAGCAGGAGGTGCGGGCTGCATGGAGCGCGCTGGGGCGCAGGGACAGCGCGGTAGCCGGCGCCTGCATGGGTTCCCGCTCGCTTTCCGGCTGGCGCTGCTGCTGGCTGGGTCGCCGTCGGGCCGCGCGGGGGCTCCCGAGGCGCAGGAGCCCGCGACGTCCGGCACCGTGGCCCCGGAGGGAGGCGATCGCTGCCGCGGCTACTACGACGTGATGGGCCAGTGGGACCCGCCCTTCAACTGCAGCTCGGGTGTCTACAGCTTCTGCTGCGGCACGTGCGGCTACCGCTTCTGCTGCCACGACGGCCCGCGCCGCCTGGACCAGAGCCGCTGCTCCAACTACGACACGCCGGCCTGGGTGCAGACTGGCCGGCCGCCCGCCCGCGCCCGTGACAGTGCCGCCCCGCGCGATCCGGGCCGCGAGCGCAGCCACACTGCGGTCTACGCGGTGTGCGGTGTCGCCGCGCTACTCGTGCTGGTTGGCATCGGGGCACGCCTGGGCCTGGAGAGAGCGCACAGTCCGCGCGCTCGGCGCACGGTGACCAGGTGAGCGCGCCCTCCGACCCGCCGAGTCCTCCGACCCGCCTCGTCCTCACTGTCCCCCGCTGGGTCCAAATTCTCCCGCAACTGCTCCCTCCGCAACCCCCTGTAAATCTAGGCCTCTCGGCAGTCCCCCTTCTCCTTTTTGTTTTTGTTTTCTTCTGGGTTTGTCTCTCTTGCCCCCCTCAGACACCTGGTATCCTACCCCCTGACCTTCCCTGCCTACACTGGGCTCTGAGTCGTTCTCCTTGTAGCTGTAAACCCCCTCTACAGAAGAAGTTCAGAGGAGGGGGCACGGACGCTGGCCAGGCAGGACGCGCACTGGGGCAGTACTGAGGGTGGTCTTGGGCGGAGAGCAGGGTGGTGCTCGGCGGGTTCCCCCCCCCGCTGCTCTCCCACTTTCCCCTTCCCTCCTCCCACCTCCATCCATTCTCCCAACCCAGTGTGACTCAAACCTGACCTTCATTCCTTGGAGGTTCAGAAGCATCCCCTTCATAGCTCCCAGGCAAAGGTCTGGCTCTCCAGTTGCTCGGCTGGGACTCAAGGATAGGAGCCTGTGCCTTTCAGAGACCTGCTAGGGGCCGGCTGAAGTTTCAAGCTTATTTTGAGTTTTGCTGAGATTCTGTCCTTAACCTGGAGCTCTCACGCCACCCCTCCCACTTCCACCCCCAGCAAGCCCCATGTCCTGCGTGTGCTCTCTCCCTGTCCACCCACGTCCCCGCCTGGTCAGACTGTTGACGCCACACGCAACAGGCTGCAATTGGGAGTGACAACAGAGAGAAGCCCCCCCCCCCCGTGATGTCTCAGGGGCCATGCATGAGACCACTTAGCCCATCCCTTCCAGGCAGCTGGAGGGCAGAACCAGGCCAGGATCTTGTATTTCTCCCCTAGCTACTGCATTGCCAGCGTGGGCGTTTAGCAGGGGGTTCTGAATGCTGCAGAGGCTGCTCAGCCTCTGACTTTGGAGGACCTCTCATGCAGGGCAGAGGTAGCCGTGGGAGGTCAGAGAAACAATGGGCGCTGAGACCCATGGTGGTAGAGGCTAGTTCATAGCTGGCTTGTTGGTTTGCGACACCTATCTGCAAGTTCAGATTTGGTTATGTACCCCGGACTCCCTTCTTTGTGCCCCTAGGTGAGTGTGTTCTGAACCCCTGCCCAAGATTCTCTGACGGGGATGGCTAGGGGAGGCTTCTCAGAGGGCTTGGAGGGGATTGGAGTCAGGCTTTGGAGTCTGTGCAAAGGCCCAGGGGCATGACGGTCCCTCCTTTACCTGGGAGAGCAGAGTTATCAGTGCTTGCCCTGCCATGGGATAACGCGCATGTGCCACTGAGGCGCGGGGAAAGGAGAGGTCAGCTCAGGCAGGCTGCAGAACCTTTGAGACCCTGCCACCCTGCAGCTAATCCTTGGCCACCTCAGGTGTCTTCCAGTGTGCCTCTTCATTAATCAGTCGTAACCCAGCCCCCAAAGGAGGGTCAAGCAGAATAGAAGAAAATCATGGGTTCTGGGTACTGCAGGCAGCTGGGTTGAAGGCCGGGCTGCCTATGGGAAAGGCTCAGTCAGACACTGTCACAGCTGGGTGGGGGTTGGGTGTTCTGGGTACCCAGGGAGGCAGCTGCCCAAGGTCACCCAGCCTTTGGGTACAGGGCTGCCACAGAAGGATCTCCTTGGCTCCCCTCTTTTCTTCAGTGTCTGCCTCACTTGCCCGTGTGACAGCTCAGCAGAAGGCACATTGCTGGGGTGCAGCTAAGGGAGACCTTGGAGGAGGGACTCCGATGGCGTCTGACTGAATAAGAGCATGGGAGATGAAGAGAAGGGTACTGGGTGCAGAGAGCGTGGTTGGGACGGGAGGCTCAACAGGGAAGGTCTTGGAGAGTGAGCTACAGGAAGGAGCCTCAGGAACACAAGGTGGCCCTGGTTGCATGTGACCTCATTACTTTCCTGACCTGCTTTGGGAGATGGCCATCTTGGGGCCACAAGTGAGGCTGACAGGTCATTCCTGGTAGGGGAAATGAGATACCCAAAGTCAGTCACTAGAAAGAACAGAAGGGAGGTCCAGAGAGGCTCAAAGAACAGCCCAGAGATACAAAGTGAGCCCAAGGGGGACTGGAGAGATGGCTCAGTGGTTAAGAACAGTGTCTGCTCATTTCTGAGGATCCAATGCCCAGCAACCACATGGTGGCTTATGACAATGCCTCTCAACCTGTGGATTGAACGACCCTTTTGCAGGGCCTGCATAAGACCATCAGAAAACACAGCTATTTACATGTTAACTCATAACAGTAACAAAATTAGTTATGAAGTAGCAATGAATATAATTTTGTGGTTGGGGGTCACCACAACATGAGGAACTGTATTCAGGGATCACAGCATTAGGAAGGTTGAGAACCACTGTCCTATGACTATCTGGAACTCCAGTTCCAAAAATCTGATGTCCTCTTCTGGGCTTTCAGGGCACCAAGCACGCATGTGGCGCCCAGACCAAACACCTATTACACAACAAAACAATTCAAAACAAAACGAAAAAGGGAGGCAGTGGTGGCTACTGCCAGCCTTATCTGACTGACGGAGAGGCAGGGGCTGCAAGTCCCCTCATCTTTCTTTCTCCCAGGACACTGACAGAACTTCTCAAACAGCCAAGCCCCCAGGAACCACTGCCTCCGCCTCTGGGTCCAGCCCTGGGTAACTGTGTCCAGGTACAAATGGGTGATGGTGTTCTTCGGGGCTCCTCCCACAACAGCACAGGTGAGTAGGCTTGTGGTGGAGGGGTGGGAGTGGGGAGAGTTGGCTTGTTGACTGGGGAGCATCGGTGGGAGCATCGTCCTGCTGTCTCCCGGGCAAGGATGCTGAGAGAAGGGCTCCAGGCTCAGGATGTGCTGGCTAGGACTGTGGTTTGAGACTCGGGCTTGTGGGTCTAGAACCTGCCTCTAGGTCTTCATGGTGGTTCCCCCACCTTGTACATGTCGGGATATGGAGTTCAGTGCCCCTCCATCTCTGTAGGGAGTGGTCCAGGGTTTAGCACCTTTCTAGCTATCCAGCCATCCATTAGGGTAGCACCCTTCTGGGACTTGCTGTCATGTTCATGATTTTGTGAACCAAGCCAGGTCATTCTGGAGGGCCACCCATGCCCCATGTTGCCTGGAGCTGCTGCTGGGTAGGGCGTTGAGAAGAGGTGGTGGTGCAGGCAGGGTCAGCTTGCCTCTCTTTACTCCCCCCCGCCCCCACCAGACAAGAAACGCCTCAATAATGCGCCTCTGGGATCTGCCACCCCGGGACCCCCACGCGGCCCCCGGCTGCAGGGTGGTGGCAGCCTGACGTTGCAGCCAGACTATGCCAAGTTCGCTACTCTCAAAGCAGCAGCCCTCAAGGCCACAGGTGAGGTGCATGTTGCTGGTGCCAGCTCCCTAGGGATACTGCTATACTACCTTCTCGCCCTCAAGGGCAGTCGGCTTGGCCAATCCAAGCTCAGGACCTCCCCAAGCAGCCAATTGACTCTCTCTTAAGCAGCTGACTCCCCTCCCCCCACCACATCACCTAAGGCAAGTGCCTGACCAGCTCCGCCCTGTCGTCCCCTCCCCACCCCAACAGCAGAGGCTGCACCCCAGGACTTCTATCAACGTTTTCCCTCTACTGAGCCGGTTCCACGGACCCTCCCTGCGCGGACCCCGCGTCCTCCGGAGGACTTGCCTGCGCTGCTAGATGCCTGCCCCTGGGCCCCTCCGGGCTATGTACCTCCTGCTGGCCCCGCCTCCTCGCTCCCCTATGCGGCCTGGACCGCGGGCCGCCCCACGCGGCTGGTCCCCCGTGGCCACTTGGTGGCTCAGGTCTCCCCTGCGCCCCGGCGCCCCAGCCACGTGCCGCGCCGTCAGTTCAGCGTGGAGAAGCTGCCCGAGGCCTTCAGCGCGCAGCCTGCCACCTTTTACAGCAGCGCGGGCAGAGGGCCCCGGCACTTGAGCACCAACAGCAAAGCTGAGGTCACTGTCTGAAGGGTAACCACTGGAGCCTTCTGCAGGGTCCCGGGCCGTGGCCGTGTTGGCTTTAATTCAAATGGGACTGGGGACATTTGGAGCCTGTGGCTAAGGGGGCCAAAAGGGTAGGGCCAGGTGTTCTGTCCTTGGGAATGTAGGGCTATCTTTACTTGTGTAAATAAACCCTCTAATGTAGTTCCTGTTCCAAGGGGATCATCAGTGATTGACTGTACAACGCAGCAGTGCGAACCAGAGAAGTGGCCAGAGAGGGTGGCTGGGTTGAATGCCAAACATTGTTCAGAGCAGTAGGAGCCACAGAAGAGAGGCAGGTACGCCTCAGTCATCTTAAGTCTTAAGGTCCGGGTTCAGGGGAGAGGGCTTGTCGGATCCCTGTGGAGGTCCACGTGCTCTTCTAGAGGCTAGCCTCTTCCCACCGGGCAGCCGATCTCTCACTCAGCAGTTTGAGTTAGCTCAACCTTGCTCATCCTCATAGACAGGAGTCTGGCCCCGGGCCGACTCCTGGCTTGCAGGCTGCTTGGCTAGATTGGCCCAGGGCCACCCCCCTAATGGGTGTGGGCCACATGGACATCTGGTGCTCAGGATAGAGGAGCCTAGCCTCCTCCCAGGAGCGGCCATGGGGTTAGGGGGATGGAGACACTGGAATGGGAGCCTAGCAATGCCCCTCCCTTGGGGGTGCTCCCGCTGCACAGGGTTGGCACTGCCAGCTCTCTCTCTGTTCCTGGCGGAAGTTCCCAGCACCTGGCTGAGGCCCAGGGTACTGTCATTGCCTCTCTGCATCTTCCCAAGTTCCTCAGTTCCAGGTTCTGGTGCGTGGGGATACCCTAGCTACAGCCAGGTGAGGTATTTGCCCTTCCCGTGTTCCCGGAGATGGCATACTGGTACCATTTGTTGCATCTCATCTAAGAGACCCACAGAGTTGTCTGCAGATAAGGAAATTAAGGTTTTGGGACCTAAGTACCTTACCTAGGGTCACTCAGGCCACCTGCCACGTTGATGCAGGCCTTAGCTGTGCCAAGCATGACCCTTCTGCTCAAGAGCCTTGTATGTTCACATGGGCTAGGCCGAGACCAAGGGCAGTGGTCACTACGGAAATTCTGACTTGAGCCTCCTGGATGCTTGAATGAACCCTCTGTCGGTGTCTTCTAGGGTGTGGTTCAGCCAGATGAGCAAGACCCAGCCACACACTAAACAGTTCAGACTAGGCTCATTCCAGATAGAATACTCCACCCTGCCTCTACCCAATACTGCATGTGGTCTTGCAGCTTCACAAGGCCATGCATTGGTGTGCGTCACACCACGCTAATCTGAACAGCAAGCCCGTGGTGCTGAGGCCAAAGGCAGGGATTAGCCATCCCATTCTGCATTCACGCAAGTGGAGGTGAGAGGCCAGCTCACCAGAGTTACTCGGCTGGGAAACACAGGAACTACATACACTTGTATGTGGCCATCAGCCAGTGAGCTGTTTAGGAGGACCTTGCCCCCAGTAAGTGGAAATGAAGAGTGGCCCACCTGATGGAGGAGTGACTTTAAAAGTTCCAAAGAACTGCTACTGTCAACCAGCCAGCTGAATGGCCAGGCAGGGGCTGGAACCTGGCTCTTGTATCCCAGACCCTCACCCATCTCTAGTGTGTTGGGTAGGTCTGTGGGCAAGGAAGGACCATCAGACTGCAGCTATCTGTCTGTCCTTAGTCCCTAGCCCACTGCGGGCCAAGTTATGCAGTCATTTGGCTAAATCACAGTAAAAGTCATACTACATACAGACTCACACAACCTTGTGTTAGGTGGTACCAATCTGTGTTTATTGAATAACCTATGTCCAGCACATGGCGAATGTTTCAACATCAAGGAAGACATAGGTGTATCCCCTGTTCAGTGAAAAACCACCCTCCCAACCCCAACAAGGAGAAAAGGCACAGTATATACACAAGACACAAGGGCTGGGCTGCCCCATCCGTGGGGCCATAAATTACAGTGAGAGTTGGGAGAGACAGGATAGGACAGGTGGGGACAAACACAGGAAGGGCCCACCCTACCTACTCTCTGCTTCAACCAGCTTGGAGGGATGAGAAGCACAAGGAGGGAGGGTTCCTCTCAAGTCTCTCAGGAAGCCCTGAACTAAGCAGTCCAGAAAAGCAGGACAGACCACTCTCTTCCTAGGACTCCCCCATCTCAAGGCAAGAGACCTGATTCCTGATGCCTACCCTGAAAAAGGAGAGGCTTGCTGCTGGGGAGGGTTTGGACCTGTGTCTGCCACCCCGGCCTAATCACAGACAGAAATTGGGATAAAAATACACTCTATGGGAGGTAGGAGTTAGGCTGGGGGTATGAAGGAACACATAAATCATGCTGAAGACCCCTGGATACTAGGTCCAATGGTGGCTTCATCCTATTCAGCCCCTTGGGCCTACCCTGAGCTCAGGCTTCCATCTCAGGGGGTGGAGGAGTGGGAAGGAACAGGACAATTAAATAAGATACCATTTATTTTTTAAAAAATTAAAAAACAATGCCAACATTATTTCATCCATCCCTAGACCTGCCCCTGCCTCCCACCCACCTCCCCAGGCTGGGCTCCCTTCCTTCCCCGGCTGTTCCTTGTGATGATGAGAAAACAATGAACAGGCTTAGTCAGGCACAGGGGAGGGAGTGCAGACCCAGGGAGAAATTAAGATGCCACAGCAACTTTGCCCTGTATTGTGGCAGGCCCAAGCACACACATATAAAAACATTTGTATAAAAAGGGGCATGCCAGATAAGTCCAGGATGCAAACTGCTCTCTGGTGCACAGAGACCTAGTTCCCAGAGAAAGCCTGATAAAAACAAAACAACAAAAAAAAAAAAAAACAAAGAAGCAGAAAGGGAGACGCTCAGAGTCTCCAGAGGACTGGGGAAGGGCTTGGCAGCACCCTATGTTGCTTTCAAGTGAGGTGATCACCCCATTCCTGATCAGGCCACCTTTCTTCTCAGCCCACCTGGGCTTAGACCACAGACATTTATCACAGCAGTCTTACGGAGCCTTGCCCATGGTCCTACTGGCCTGAAATGATTCAAAAGCCTTGGCAGGTGACAGCTCAGAAAGTCAGTCTTGCCTTCATCCTCACAACTCTTGGAGAAGGGAGAAAGACAGATGGGGAGACAGTCTGAGAGACAGAGGGAAGATCCTGGGAGAAAAAGACAAAGCTGGAAAGAGGTGACCAAACCCCGTGCATGGTCAGGAGGCAGCAATGGCGGTGCCACCGCCCAGCTTGACAATCATCTGCTGGCAGTCATTGCAGGAACGTCGGTCACCCACCTTCTCCAGGGTGCGGGCAGCTTCAGCCAGCAGCACTGCCCGCTGGCCCGGGGAAGACAGGAAAGAGAGGGGAAGATGGCGGCAGGCCAGCAGGATGGCAGTAGCTCGCTCTCGCTGGCCAGGCCAGGTGTCTACCTCTCCTGTGGGAATAAGATTTATGTAAGCACTGTCCCAAGGACTTTGTGTGGCCTCATTTGTTGGACCCACCCCCTCATCCTGTGAAGAGGTATGTTCTGCTCTCTCCCTCGTCCTCCTCACACAGGACAGAAGATGAACTGGGTAAGCATCCCATCAGCCACTGTGCGGGCTGAGATACTCGAACCCATGCAACTTCCACCCTGCTCCTGCACTGGATGGCACCGTAGGAACCATTCATGACCACCCAGCCAATACCACTCCTGCTGCCCACTGAGTCAAGTGTGTAGAGCACACTACCAGATGCCAGGGCTCCACCCTTGCACGGCTCTCACAGGTGCAAGGCCACCCCAGGCCTGCAGCAAGGGAGCCACGGACTCACCATGCTTGGCGTTCTGACTGGTACGCCGCCGTAGGCTATGCTCCAGCAGCTGGTGTGTCCGGGTGGGGCTGGCTCCTGCCATCAAGCGTACAGTGGCCTCATGCAGGAACACCTGGCAGGTACAGGGGCCTCAGTCAGACTCTTGGGTTCTGGCCTGTCTAACCCCAGTGGTTAGTCTCCTCTGCTCCCCCACCTCCCTCTTTTCTTCACACCACGCTGCCTTTCTTGATCCTGGAAAGCAATGCATCTTGTCCTCAAGCCAAGCTAGATGAACAGTAGGAACAGGGACAGCACAGGCCAGCCGCTGGGCAGGAGCAGGACTAGATGAACCAGAGAAGGGGCAGCTTGTTCTGCTGGCAACAAAACCCCGCGGTACCCTCTGGGGTTGCAGGTAAGTTTGGCTGGAGCCTTGTCCTTGAAGGCTGTGTCCCAGCCACACAAAAGGACAGAGGAGGAAAGAGGGTTGAGGGGGAACAGCTAGGTTGGTATCAAGTTCAATGTCTTATTTCTTGAGAAAGGAATGGAGTCTAGGCCCACAGTCTTGTTTGGTATCAAGTTCAATGTCTTATTTCTTCAGAAAGGAGTGGAGTCTAGGCCCACAGTCTTGTTTGGTATCAAGTTCAATGTCTTATTTCTTGAGAAAGGAATGGAGTCTAGGCCCACAGTCTTGTTTGGCCTTTGACACTGCAACACAACCTGACTTCTACAAGGGCCACACCCTGAACTGGACAGTAAAGCCAGTCCTCCCCTCCCCTTTGCCAAAGATCATACACAAGAAATCTCTTTTTATGTTTATGATTTTATCTTTCCTTTTTTTTTATTTTGAGACAGGGTTTCTCTATGGCTGTTGTGGAACTCTCTATGTAGACCAGGCTGGTCTAGAACTCAGAGATTCACCTGCCTTTGCTGGGATTAAAGACACACCACTATGTCTGGCTCTTAAGTTATGATTTTGTGTTCAGCCACTCATTGTTCTCTTTGGTCACAGGTGGGCTGTAGGCTGGTTGGTTAGTCCTGGGACACGTTTCCTGGGATAAGTCAGCAGCTCTTTTTTTGTTTTTGAGACAGGGTCTTACTATGTAGCCCTGGTTGGCCTAGAACTACCATTATAGACTAGGCTGGCTTCAAATTCAGAGATCCATCTGCCTCTGCCACCAAAGTGCTAGGAATAAAGGTATGAGCTACCATGCCAGCTCAAAAAAAATTGTTTATTTTTGTGTGTGAGTATGTGAGACTGGAGAGTAAAAGCCACATTATGCATGTGGAAGTCTAAGGACGATTTGTGGAAGTTGCTTTTCTCCTTCCAGCATGTGGGTGCTGGGGAACTCAACTCAGGCCATTAAGCTTGATAGCAAGCATCTTTCCCTG